TATCAATAAATATATCTAATTATTTATTTAAAGTGGAAATAAGTATGTATGATCAAAACATTTTTTCAAGTAGTCCATTAATTATAATTAAATCGATATATTTTCAAGAACCAACCAAGTATCAAAGAAAATTTTAACTTTTTACAAAGTTTCCTTTCAGCTTAACTTAACTCTTCGTGAAATCACTTTCGGCCAATCCCATTGACAGCTCTGTCAGGCTCTCAGAGGCCAGCCTTGGCCTTTCGTCGCGCCTCTGATCACTGAGCATTGTCTGGGCCCTAATAAACAGCCAAATATTCAGCAGCATCAAGAAAATTAATTCTAATTTGTAGTTAGCCGAAAAGGAAACTAGCCACAACCGATGGCAGAACGAGAGGGGGAAGGGGGGCAGTTGGTGTACTACAGCCATGGCGTGCTGAGTCCTTTGCACACTTTGCAGCTAATTATTCAGATGAAAGAGGTCGAAGGGGAGCGGAGTGGCGAGCAGGCATGTAGCTCAGCGAAAAATCAAACAACGATATTGCTACTTGCAATTTCTCGTCACGTTCAAAACTTAATTAGTACATCAGGACATCATCAGAGATGCTGCTTCAGTTGCTTCCGCTCCTGCTCCAGCTCCAGCTCTAGCTCCAGTTGCTGACGCCTTTGCGGGCAACGCTGATGCGCCAAACAGTCAAGACAGCGACTGGGCACGAGTCTCGGTGGCTTGGCCAGTGCAGAGGCGTTTAACAGCCAGACGGCGGGTGGTGCGGGTGTGGCGGGGCAGGTCGAGCCTGTCATAAGGACGTCATGTTTCTTAATTAGTTCTTTGTTATCATAACTTTTTGGCGAAACGCTGCGTCCACCACAGCCCAGCAGCAGCTGCGCAGCTCTGGACTTTATCGAATTTGCTCGTGCTTGGCGCTTCATTAGCGTCATGTACTATGACAGCCTAGTCGAATTTTAGATTCCAGCCATGCCCGCATCCGCTGGGAGACGCACACACGCACTGTGGTATCATCGACATCAACGGATTTGTAGAGGCAACTGGTGGAATACTACAATACGCTCTGGCAGAGCTACGAGGTAAATAAACACACAGAGGGACTGCCAGAGAGTGGGAGAGGGAGGGAGAAGGGGAGAGAGCATGAGATTTTGGCATGCCGCACACGTAGAAGATTTCCGCACGAATTCGCAAAGCAACTCTTGATCCCTTTGACTCGTGGACATGTTTTCTCTGGCATTCTCTTTGATGTTTACAAATTACACCAAAAGTTGGCAAACAAATTTTCTTATTCACTTTTACCGACTGCACACACAATAAAATGGCCAAGCCAAAGCCCCCATACCCTAATCCCCACGCCCCCAACCCTACGCTGCGAGATGCTTGTAAATGTGCCAAGTGGAATTGCGACCAGGAGACAAAAATGTTGTGTGTGTGTGTGTAAAATACATTTGGAATGCATTCTTGAGCCATGGCCAAAATAATCGAAAAGTTTCCATTCGGCCTTTAGATCGATTTAACAAACGATGAAAAACTGTGGCGGTTACAGTGAAGAACGAATAGTAAATACCCTATGTCTGCTTAGCATATTGAGAGAAATTTTCGTTCATAGAAATTTCTGGAGGTAAGAAAAGAACATAAAAAAACTCTGCCAAAGCTGCGATTCAATTTGGTTTCCGGGTTGCAATAGATATACAGAGAGACTATAAAAATGTCAGGAAATTATAATTATATATATATAATATATATAGTTCTTTACAGGGTATATTCATACTTTATTAATTAAATCTATGCATTTTAATTTATTTTATTTCCGTATATTTTTAGTGTATTTTCACTTTTTTCTGCTAAAGTATATCAGAATTTATATATTATTAAAACAAAACAAAAACTGATATGAATGCAACGATATACTCCTATATGACAGTAGAAAATCGTGTTATAAATATGCTACAGCTGAGTTCCTTAAGTCAGTTGGAGGATTTTTATACTCTTATACTCTTCCTATGGTTATGTTAACAGAGTATATCCATACACATTGTATTTAAATTTATATATTTTTGAGTTGTTCTCGAAGTATTAAAATAACATTGCACTGCCTTGTAAACCCGGCAACATTAAAAAAAAAAAAAAACCTAAAAACAACTTATTCTTTTTAGTTTCTCCAATTATATTTTTACGCTGTAAAAACTTTGTGCTTTTCTAGTATGTGGAAAAAGCTTCGCATAGTTTTCATATGCTGATCTCCAACATGCCCAAGCAGACGCTCAACTTTCTCTCTTTCTACATGTGTATGTGTGTCTGTGTGTATACAAAATTCATTTGTGCAAACAACAACGATAAAAACATTTTCAAGTCGAAGGATGTGCAGAAAGTTTTTTTGCTCACTCATTCATAAGTTTTTAATTAAATTGCCGTCACATATTTTTCTGGGCTCAGGCAAAGTCGCTTTTGATGACGGTCTCCGAAACGGGCTTGCTTAACTGACAGCATAACACTTTTTGAAATACTTTCCTCTTTTGAGTACAACTATTTTATTTTATTTTTGCTAATTAGGCGATATCTGAGTGAGCATTTAAACCACATTTGGAATTGGTTTTAATACCATGTACCTGATGCTAATGCTGTAGGCAGTTCCAGAGAGGAAGAATCAGTTGAGTAAATGCTACTATCAACTGGAATATAGAATATAAAATTGTGTTTCATTATATACAAATGGGAATGGGAATGGGAACGGTGTGTATAAATATATGATCTGAGATCTGATATTAAATATTTTTTACTATTATTATTATTATTATTATTATTAATTATTATTAATATTATTATTATTATTGTTATCACTATACTATTTAATGAATAAACACATCTCTCTCGAAATTAATATGATAATAAAACACGATAAATTTATTTTAAAATAACTCGATATACACTAAAAATCTAGCACTAATTTAAAACTATATATTGCTTGATATTGCGTTCGGCAATTATTTCGTTGATATCGTCTTCTTCGCGCCTGGCTGGCAGCATCTTCTTCTTCACTTCGTCCATGTGCTTTCGCATTGTGGCCACATTGAACTCACAGTTCTTGGCCGGCTTGAGCACGGGCTGCGAGATCAGCTTCAAGTCCCTGAGCCGCAGCAGCCGGCGGCAGAGCAGCTCCAGGGGCGCCTCCATGTTCCAGGCAGCGCGTGAGGACAGCTCGCAGTAGTCGACGTTCGGCTGCTGGCGAAACAGCAGCGCCGGACACATCCGCTTAAGCTCCGCCTTGTTGCCGCACACCACCACCGGCAGCTGCTTGCCGCAAATGTCCGCCAGCTGGCGCTGCCAGCGCCCCACACTGGCCGCCGAGCTGGCCGAGCTCAGGTCGAACATGATGATGGCGCAGCGGGCATAGAAGAAGTAGCCATTGTGCAGGCCGCCATGCCGCGGATCGCCAGCCACGTCCCACATCTCCAGGGCGACGCTCTTGTAGTTCGTCTCCAGCGGCAGCGTGTGCACATTCAGTCCGTATGTGGGCACATGCTGCTCCTCGAACTGACCCGTTGCATGCCGGCGCAGAAACGTGGACTTGCCCACGCCGGAGTCGCCCAGAATCAGGCACTTGTAGGTGTCTTGGATGCAACGACCGGGCATAATATCCATGTAAATGTGTGTGTGTTTATAAAAAAAAAGCTATAAATATTTGTGTCAGCTGATGTAGATCTAAAGTCTAAGGCTAACTTTGATTAGGGCTCATTTGTAATACAGCTAAGTTTTCAGCAAGCTCTTTTTAGAGTGATATATGGGTGTGGACTGTAAGGAAATGGAAGTACGAACTTAAAGCAATGGACGATTACGAGGATTTCACAAAAGAAAGGCTTCATTCTTCCCCCTCCTGCGAGGGATCTATCTACTATGCATATTGCTTATATAGAGTATTATTATAGCTACTTAATAACTTTTTGACATAGAGCACTTCTGAAACCCCAATTCAACTCATTGATAGAGGTTGTCTCTGCTGTCGCCCATTCAATAATCTTAATAGTTTTGCCTCAGTTGTTGTTGATTTCTCGAGTGTTTTGATAAACATTCGTTTTGCTCAGTTGAATGGGAAACGGGGTGCGAGTGGAGCGCGTGGAGCGCACTCAGACGAACGAGCTAGTTAAATATTTGTAATTGCACGCGATGTTTACACGAAATGAGGAAAAACAAATTCAATTGGCCAACTTGGTGACGCTGGCAACGCTGGCTACGAATACTTTGGCCAACAACGACAGAAGCAACAACAACAGCCACTTGCCAGCAATGAAAATAAACGTGTAACTGTTTTTAGCACCTAAAACATACCAACTGCCTAGTCAACCCACCCCCGACCCCCACCCTGTCAAATGAGGCGTTAATTGTATTTACACAGCAGTTATGAGGGCCATTTGAATGCACATTAAACCACAAGACAGCTCGTTAATTCATCCACAACTTCTGCTTGCCGAGCAGCCTATCCATCACTCTTACAAATTAAGAGCCTGTCAATGCTTATAACAATCTAACCAAGATCTGCCAACTCACATTAAAGCACTAATAATAATAATAATCATAAAATGAACAATCTAAGATCTGTCAACTGTTCTCGAAGCATAAATAAATGTGTGGATATACAATAATATTTGTGCTAGAAATATGTTGGCATTTGGAATACTCAAGAATCATTATGTATGTATTGTATTAACCAATATCTTAAAGCTGAATGCAGTTAACTCTTTAAATGATTTCATTCAAGATTCCTTGAACAATAATAAAGCTAGAATCGAAAATGGGTTGTTTTTACATTTAAAAAATTTAATTCATTTCCATGATCAAAAATAGCCCTGTTAGGATAGTTAAGCGATATTCTTAAACAATATTTCATGACAGCTCTCACTTTAATATAACTTAATACATAATATCTCGTTCCCGTCTCCATCTGAATTCCATTTTAAAGGCTGTTAGAAACAGTTTCTCAGCCACTTCTCCGCTTCACCCGACATATGAGTTTACCAACCACTACTACCACTACAAGTGCACATATATGTTCACAAAAGGAATGCCCTTAAAGTGAAGTCCCTCTCTTTTTTTTTTTTTTTGGCTGGTACTTTAACGATTTGGATTGGTATTTCAAATGGCCTAATTGAGCTGCCGTTGCCAGACAAATGTTACTCGGATTGACAGCGGGAAAACGCAACGCTTGACATGACATAGGAACTGCTCGAGCTGCTGGTGACTGCTGACTGCGGACAGCTGACGGCTGGCTCCTGGCTGCCAGAATGCTGACTGGGGTAACTGCCGACCAGGCTCGGGCACGGTTCCCTCTGCCCACTACCGACAGCCGACTGCCGATTGCCGTTTGCTGTACCAGTGATTGTGGACTCAGAGCCGAATTCATTCATCTACGGTTATGCGTTGGCGGCGCAATTGTCAATTCCATCAATCAGCAGGATTGACATTTGGGTTACCATTGCGAATAGGGAGAACTGAATTCTTCGCTCTGACTCTGGTTCCAGCTTTGATTCCAGCTCTGGCTCTGGCTCTGGCTGGTTGTAAGTGATGTTGAATAGCTACCGCCCGGAAGCACCTAAATGGATAAAGCAATACAATTGAGAGAGAGTGGCAGAGAGAGAGAAAAACTAAAAAGAGTGGAAGAGCTAGAGTGGGAGGGAGAGTGAATGAGAGAGAGAGAGAGACGCACACAAATTAGTAACATAACCGGATTTCGCATTTTCAAATGCAAAGTATTTTCATTTGTAGAGTCGAAAAATCCTTACCATCTACTTCCGTGGCCCAGCATTCAGCCATTGAAAGCCATTTGACAAAAGCGAAAAGCCAAAAGAAAGGCAAGCCCAAACAAAGGAAAACAAGCAAAGCGAATAACGAGGAATGAAATAATATAAGCCAGACTCACATACAAAAAAATAAAATAAGAGGAAGAAAATGAAAAAACGTATGGCCAAAATGGATAAGCCATCCCTCCTGGGTAATCGACGTGGGTGGAAGCATAGCAAATGGCATTACTTTTCAGCTTCCACAGTCTCCGACGGCCTTCATCGTACATCCTTTTAGGCAGGCGCAGGGCTGGGAGCGGGAGAGGGCACGGGCTGCGGGGATTGGGGCTGGCAGGCTAGCGCCACGCTTAAATAAAATTTGTTGATTTTATTGAAAAGTGATGATGTGTCAAATTTTTTATCGCATTACCAGCGCGTAGTAGCTCTCATTTTGCTTTTAACCTTGTCATTTGCATAAAATTCGCATTGAATAGACACATTAGCATTTTTAATGGCTCGCTGCCCGCTGAAAGTCTCCACTACGAAACGAGCGGGCGGGGTCGGACTGTGGGTCTATGGTCAGTGCCAGTCACGCCGCACGCCTCTAAAAATTTGTCGATGCCAAACACGTTTGGGGTTGAAGGTTGTCAAAAAAAAGAAAAAAAGGAATAAAACAACAAAAAACCATAAGAAAGCCATTGAAAAGACGCATTCACTGAAGTGACAAGTGAGCAATATTTCCAGAGCACTCCTGCGGGAAGCCGGGCCTCACAGCACAGATTCCAAAGACAAATTGAGCAGCTTAATGCATGTCAAATTGTCAATTGCTTGCGATCTATGCCGCACGCTCTTGAGCTAGTTGAATGAATCATCTGCAAACACATTGAATGTATTTTGTGATAAGTGAATTAAAAATGTACTTTCTAAATTAATATAAAGGTTTATATGCATTTATTTGTAAAACTATTTTGACTATAATTCAAAACGTAATTGATATAAATAATTGTCATGCTCATATAAAAAAGAAGAGCTTTCAAAAAGCTTTAAAAGAGTTGCTTATTTACATACATCAATACCAGAAAGTTCATGCTCAGCTCAGCAACCACCGCTACGTTTAACATTTGAGTCTAAGAGCGGCAGATGCAGTCGTTCCAGTTGTGAGAAAGTTTGTTTTGTTCTCTGCATATCTTACATGTGTCCAATATGTACAACTCTCCGCTGTTTTCATCTCATCAGTCACCGGCCGAGCTTAACAGTCAAAATAATGAGCATGTTAGATTAACATGTATGTTCTCACAATTTTATTAACTCTCTCTTTCATTTCTTTTACATGCCATTCAGCGAATGCATTAACAGCGAAGCTTCGTTCGTTCTCAGAGCGCAACGACTTGATCGTGCGGTTGAAGCCGACGCTCGGCCCTCGAAAAACGAGCTTTCGTGCTATGGGATGCTCATGCGCCGACAGCGCTGCTTTTTATGTAAATAAATATGTAAATACATACAAGCATTTGCTGCGAAGAGCACATGCTGTCTCGCTTGCTTGCATTTGATCTCTTAACGGCGAATACAGTACATATATAAATGTATGTATGTATATTCACTTTCACTGGAGTTTGCATCAGCTAAAGTATATTTGTACATGTAAACTCTGTTGATCAAATAAATGTTAGTATGCACTGAATTTAATGCCAGAACCGCAAGCTTTACTATATAGTCGTAGGTAAGCTAAAATAGAATTAAATAGAATTATTTCCAACGCCTCTAACAGTTTCCAGAATCTGTCAGCTCAGATCAACTCTTGCCATAAAGCCCTGCCTGGCTGCCTAAATGTTTAGCTATTCCATTTGTTTTGCAATCACAGAAGGCTTTTTGTAGAACGTGGTCGTAACATGCTCCCCGGACGTCGACTAATCCGGAGAGTGAAATTTTATTCGTGCTGGCCCCGTTTTGCGCAGATGTAGAGCAATGTCTTTGCATTAGAGCGCATCTCGGCCATAAATAACATGACGTTTCATTAGGCGCTGAAAATGAAAAGCTATGATCACCTGGGTAGCCCACCTGGCTAGTCGGCACGAAGGACCAACTGGTGGCTGTTGCTGCTGCTCCTGCTGCTGCTGCTTCTGCTTCTACTGCTGGCAGCTGTCGGCGCAGGTGTTTTAATCACAGGAACGCGGCGCATTTGTGCTCGGTAGTTGGTTGCCACGCATAAATTTTCATTTCCATTTTCATGGCTCAACGCACAAAACGCAGGCAGGAAGGCAGCAGGCAGCAGGCTGGCGCTGGCAGGACGACTAGGACGACGTTTTGCCATTTGCCTTTGTCGCTTTTTATTGCCTGCACTTCATTTGTTGACGCTATTTCGTTGGCGAGTGCTCATAAACTGGCTCCAGTCTCCAGGCTGAGGTCCCTTTTTGGGTTGATGAGCCAACCGCAAAAAGTTAATTAGAATTAATGCGTTGGGCGTTACCAAGAGGCACCCAAGCACACACAAACGCACACAAACAGGTCAAATCGCATTTAACTGCAGCACAGGCACAACAACAACAATAATAACAACAACTGTAACTGTGCCGTTGCCCATTAATATTTCGACACGTTACAGAGGAGGCAACAGCCGCCGCCTCCATTTGCCATTCGCCATTTGCCATTTGGCCAAAATGACGCACAATAATCATTTCAATATATGCCACGAGTGGAGATCACGTACTCGGGACACTTTAGAACAAATACGCGTATCAAAATGTAACATCACACCAAACGGCATCAGCATGCAGCCCACCACAAGGACAGAGCCAGACCCAGACCCAGACCCAGACACAGGCGAGGCTACGGCGGGCGCAGTCACGAAATGGCCAGAGCCATAGAAGCCACAGCAAATAGAAGACGTAATGAAA